AAGGTGGTTCGTCTTTTTTGCGTGCTCGGCGCATCGTGCTTTGCAGCGACACGTGGAGAAACAGAGCCGATCGCATGTGCATAGATACTGTTGCACGAGTTATTGATTAGCGTCGGCTATTAGGCTTTTAATTCATTGCACGAGCTTTTACGTTTCTTATTTCCCGACGTCGAACCAATTCTCTCCTTTCTACATCGTCTGTGCAAGAGAGAATGTATCATATTGCTTTTATAGTGTTTGCCGAAATCCCATGCACATGTGGTCCTCATCTTCGCCTTATGATTTAGACCTTTTGAATTCGTAATCTTATGAACGTGTACTCAAAGCCCACTAATCAGTAACTCAGAAGTAAGCTACTATTTCGCATATTAAGAAGTAGTTACCTCTATTGCTCTTTGAGCTCAAATCCTACTATTTCAAATCCTAAAATAAAAGTAGCTACCTAATTGCTAGATCTGTGAAAATGAGTCACAAACCCATTTCTTAATTCATATTTGATGGGTTTGGCTATTATATGAGTTTTTTATATTAAGTAAATGAGTCATAAATAGGTTTAAAATGGTAAGGCTTAAAATAATATAGGTATTAAATGGGTTCACAATTTACTTAGACCAACTTATCTCCATGACTCTCTCTTCACTATTTTTCGCCCTCACTCAATCTTGCGCTCGCTTACTCCACACTCTCACCTTAATTTGGGTATGAATTTCCCTAAATTGGGTTAAATACGTATGGGTCGGGGTCGAGCATAAGTTGGGTCGTGTATTGGTTGCGATGTTTGATTGCATGGATTTATGTCAAAATGGGTTAATTTAGGTCAGATCATTTTCTACCCGATTCACCCATTTCACAAGTCTATCAATTTCTTTAGGAAATCCAAACATACTTGTGTTGTCTTCCAATGATATGACTCCATTTCCACGAGCCAAAGCCCTGATCTGTTCTCGCCAGTCACGTAGACAAATTTGGGTAATCAAGTCACATGGGCTACCGGGCTAAAAAGAACAATTCGGACCACCTTGGGTTCATTAACGACATGAATTAAGCAAAATGGGCCAGAAGATGTGCTCGAGCCCAATTTTACGCTTTGCGATTTAAGGCCCAAATTAAGGCGGTTTTTGCGATACTATGGGCTACAAGAAGGACAAAAAGGGTGGCCCATATAACTGCCTATAGCCAGGTAGTAACTAATCCAAGACATGTTTAATTAGGATGTTCCGGAGAGTTTTAACTTGATCGTACCGGAACGAGGCTTGTTAAAGAAGGTTTGACCAATCTCCTAACCCTTTTTCTAGCAGGTTTTGTGTCAATTAGCATCCGCACAACACGATAACTTATATTGAGTCCATGTCATCATGATATGTTGCAATCTATTATCGACCGATGTCCCCACGGCATGTCAACCATGGATTCCCACATAGCAAGATTTCTGTCTCCCAAAGCAATTTTTTGATTGAGAGCTCAAAGCTTGCATATTGCCTATAAAAATGTCTCGTCCTCCAACTGCTTCCAAGAGCTGAACGTCACTCACCTGCGATTTGGCATCGAGTAGGCTAGAGACGGCTGCTCATCCTATCATAGCCTCTACTTTGTTCCGCTTATTCTTATTGCTCACATGCAACACTAATAACCTTCCCTCGGTATGAGAAATTACATGCCCACTAAGGAGTGCGCTTGGTTAAGCTTTTCCAATAGACTTTTTGGCCCTCTAAAGTCCCTTGAGAAAAAAGTTAGGACGTTTGGTTAATTTTTTTGAACCACTTTGGGAAAATACCAACATTTGACAAAGCTAAAAGCCTAAGATAAGTCCCCACCTGCTTTGGACTTTCAACATTTTCGGAAGGCAACTTCTAAGGTTAATGAGTTTTTTTTCTTCCAAAATTGCCCCAACTAGTATTTTCATATTCTAGTCTTGCCCTTGCATGCGACCGTTCATCTTCTCCGATCGTTGAAGTTTTGGATTTCCGCGCTTGGGTCTTCGCCTGGTTCATCTTCTCCAATGTTGCCTTCACTTTGCAACTGTTAGACGAGATCCGGAGGTTGAGCGTCAATGATGGTCGAGCGTTGTCAGTGGTCAAGAGTTGATGGTCGAGTGTCAAGGTGACCCTGGCGTTGCTGCGCCTGGGTTGCGCGACCTCTAATCCCTCTCTAGGGCTCACGGTGGCCCCACGAGCCCTTGCCCAAGCCCTTGGAGACAATGAACAATAGCACTCTTTGTTTTACCTATTTTTTAAAAAAATTTAAAGTTACTTTTGCAAAAAATCACACAAAAAGTCAAAACAAATACACCTTGAACTAAACATCTCTGGGAAATGACTTTGCATTTCAATCATTTCCCCAAATCTCAACCAAACATAGCCTAGTGATCCTCTACACCTGTCACTTGGCACGTGGCACCCGATCTTGTGAGGATTGCTCGCTTATCCTCTCACTCCCTATCTGACTCGGTCCAATCAACACTATTTACTATATATGTTAAAGATGGTTGTAATCCTAGTTCTATTAGCATCTTATATATCAAAATGTGTCTACATTGCTACGAAAAGGAGTCTTTTCGATAGCTAAGCTTCAAACATATAATAAATTTAAAATTGACATTATCCTAGAAAAAAAGGTTATACAATCATATCTTATCTCAATTACAGGATGTTTAGAAGCCTATATTACAAATTTGTAATTGACAAAAGTTACAATTAAGCTATTTCTTTCCTTTTTATAAACTAGTCCAACGGGACATTTTCATACGTGCTTTGCTCAAAAGAAAAAGAGAGGGACCCTTTTTTGCTCCAAAGAAAAAAAAAACGCTATTAATTCTTCAATTATTTATTTTCCCGGCAGTTCCACTCTAATAAATGAATTCAAAGACAAGAATGCCCTCTAGTCTATTTAGAAGCTTCTTGAGAAGATTGCTTCATCTATTCCCATTGCATGCACATTCAGCAATCAATGAAGGCTGATAACTTCTTTTGAAGTCAAACTTCACCACCTTGCAACAGTTCATTGTTGAATCGGCTGGCCGATATTAATTATTTAAATTTAAGGGAAAATAATTTTTTCACAATTATAGAAAAAAGGGCTCTTTTATGTTGTAACCAGGAAACATCTGCATTATTTTTGCATGTCGCCGTATCCAAATAATAATAATAATAATAATAATAAAGAGAGTATTACCTATGTTGGCAAAATATACATAAATTTAAAGTTAGAAAAAAAGAATATAAATAGGATAAGAAATGCGAAAAGAAAACAGGGAACAAATATTCAAAATCAAAAAATTAATAATAATAATAATAAAAGGAGATTCTAGATTAGCTCAATCGAGCGGAATGTTTCAGCATTTTAGCAACGAACCCCGGAAAAAAGCCAAAAACAAAAGGAAAAATTAATTTTGATATATTTCATCAAATGACACTAACAATTCAATACCTTAAACGGGCTTAAAGTTAGCTTTTTGACCGTTCTATTAACATTGTACTAACGGATACGAAGCCATTCCTTAAATGATTTTTAAGGGTATATTACATTTTTGGACGAGGATGAGAGCTCTTGCCATTTCGTGCGTTTGGTGCATCGTGTCGCGGTGAATGATGCATGGAAAATCAGAGCCACCGTACATGTTATGGATCAATCTCTCTCACGATATGCTTTTTACTCCATGTGCGAACTTTCGCTTTCCTCATTTTCCGACGTTGACCGGTTCTCTTCTTTTTATCTCGTTTGGGCAAAGAAAGAGAAAATATTTTAGTGGTTGCAAAGCCCCACCACGTCAGCGATAAAAGATAAGAACTTGATTTTTCTCTTTTTCCTCCATCACGTAGGAGCACCCCCGTCTGGCCCTGATCTCCGCCCCTTCCGGCAAAGCTCGAGGTTGGCTCCGTCATTCTTGAGGTCGACCCAAGCTACCCCTCCGTCATTGCTTGCAGTCGGCTCCGTCGTCACTAGCCCAAAGTTGGCCTCGACCATGGCCAACACTAGCCCAAATTTGGCCTCGACCATGGCCGACAACCAGATCTACAGAGAAGTGTGAGTTGGGGAGGAGGAAAAAAAATTGGATTTTTATTTTTTTATTCCAACTCGGAGTCGGAACGTGTCGTTCTATTATTGGGTATAGATAAAAAATGCACGCCGCATCAACGATTAACGTAATGCTTTGCAACCATTGAATATTTTCCCACAAAAGAGAGGATGCATCGATATTGTTTTATCAATTATAGTGTTTGCAAAAATCTTATGGCTCGTCTTCACCGGCACCGGCACTTTGCCTCAAGATTCTAATGAATTTGCCACCCTCCGACCCAAATCTCATATCATTCACCGTTCAACAAAAAATGGGCTACAAATAAGAGGCACGTTGAAGTACACGATAAGATTGTAAAGTAATTGCGAGATAAAAGACATTATATTGTTCATACAACATTTAGGGAGGTTCTATTCCCCGTCAATGAAAGAGAGAATATTTCGAGATACTTAATTTGAATGTGATTTACAAGCCTTTAAGTTAATACCACAAAAATCTCCAAATTGTGCATTACTATGATAAAAATCCCTGAACTTTTCGAGGTTAAGGCTGGTGCCGTGGTCCGGCTTCCACGTCAACGTCAGGGGGTCCCATCATCAAATTCAGAAAAGAGGTAGATCTCCTTCGAGGGCTCGAACAATCTGCTCAATTTTTCAAAAGCTCATCGTCGGAATTCCTATTTCCACATAGCCTAACAGATCTTAAATGAACTAGACATGAGTCACTGAACAAAAGGAACCGTCATTAGTCATGAATGTAGCGAGGGGCATCTATGAAAGAAAGATTAAGCTCCAGGTACTAAAAATATTACCCTACTCATTCTCGGTCGACGCCCCGCCGAACGACGCACGCAAGCGGCAGCGCATTCCACCATGCGAGCCATCTCACTGTCGTCATAATTGTTCTGCAGCTTACGATCAACAAATGAGCGGAAGTTTCGTCCTCTCAGAGCTCGTGTGAGCCGAGGCCTCATCTGTAATGACCATTAACATTGATTCTGTTTCAATATTGCATTTGCATAACAAAAACCACCGATAAATTAGATCCACTCCAGGACCCAAGAAAAAAATGACGGGTAGCTTGGGCTATAATTGTGAACTTGAGAATTGCATGACTTACCAGAACGACCAGATCATCATCATCACTATAATCCCCAGGTCTGCGACCAGTGATCAACTCCAGGAGCACGACACCAAAAGAGTAAACGTCTGATTTTTTTGTTAGTTTCCCACTCAATCTGTAATCTGGGTCAACATACCTCCAAGGAAGAACAAAAACTATGCTTCAACATATTTGAGAATAGACATACGGAAATAAGTGTAGTAAAAGTCCCAAAACTTGTCACAAAAGTGCAATTGAGTTCTAAAACTATCAATATACCTCTAAGGAATAACATATTTGAAAATAATCATATGGAATAACCGTACTGGAGTCATAAAACTTGTTTCAAAAGTACAATTGAATTCTAAAATTTTCAAAGTGTGCAATAAAGTCCTAAAACTTGTCCACTTGATACAATCAAAATCCTTTCATGAACTCCGTCCAACTTGACAAACAAAAAAATGCTAATAGGTTTTATGACTTAATTACATCAACTTGACAAGTTTTAGAACTCAGTTGCACTTTTTGAAAATTTTAAGATTTAATTGTACTTTCTTTAGGGCTTTCGGTGCACTTATCCCTAGCTAAACATATTTGAACTGGTCAAGCTATAATTGTGCTTTAACAAATGAAGCACAAGATGGACTAGCGAGCAATGGCTCATTTCACAAACATTTGGAAACATCTGAGCCAGATTAATAACCGGCTCACATCCCAGTCCTCTGAATAAAACGACAAACGGAGCAAATCTTACCCTCTCGTGCCCAACACTCTGGTATACTCATGACTCCTTGATTCAGAAGTCCATTTTGCGAGTCCAAAATCCCCAATCTGAGAGAGGAAGACCATTCAGAATTCAGAGGGAATTCAGAGGGGGTGCAATCTACTAGATCTGAGAGTTAACCAATTGAAGCTGGAAATATCAATACGGACTCTTAAATTTATCAATTAAGTTTTTTTACCATTGGCTCAAAATCAACGTCCAAAAGTATGTTATCTGCCTTGATATCGCGATGTATGATATTAGGATGACCTGCACAAGGAATGTTTCTCATGTACACAAAGAGCAAGGCTCTAGGATTCATAGTTTTAATCAACTATTGATTCAATAAAGATGAAAGGTAAAGGTACGTCTGAAACTTACAATCCTCGTGAAGATATGCTAGTCCTTTGGCAGACCCCAAAGCAATTTTCAGTCTAGTTGGCCAATCTAGGGTCGGTCGTCCCATACCTGCAATGATCACTCTCCATCAGAATCCTTTCCGTTAAAAGGACAAAGCCCCGAGTTCTCTTATTAGCTTTCCCTTTCTTTTTAAATTGGATACCGAAATAAGACTAAAGAAAGAGGGGGCAACATATAAGCTCGCAGCCTAAATTAGTAATGAAAATCCAAACTCACCATGTAAGTAATACCACAAGCTGTTGTTAGGCGCCAACTTGTACACGACCATGCACTCGGACCAGGTTGTGCAGTATCCAACCAAAGACACGACATGCTTGTGATGAACTCGGCCTATTACTTCAACCTCAGTCCGAAACTCGTGCTCTCCCTGTCTGCTCCCCACCTTCAGTCGCTTCACTGCTACCTCTTCCCTGGTGGGAAGGACTCCGCGGTACACGTGCCCAAAACCACCTGCTCCGAGTAGATTTGCCTCTGAGAAGCCACCTGTGAACTCCTGTACTTCGTGAAGAGCGAAAACGCGCATGCCGAAATGGGGAAGACTGCTAGGGGATGTAGAGGAAAGCGCCCTTCTCTTTTTCTTGAGATACATGAACAGAAACATCATCACCAACAGCACCAGCACCAGCACCACGCCAATACTGGCAATCCCAACCTCAAGCCCAGTCGATCGAGACGGAGGAGATGTGGCCAGACAGGGCGGTAGAGGAGATGCCGGGGTGGTGGTGGTGGCTGCCGGCGGTGGCAGCAAGGAGCCCGGAAGTGGGGTTGACATCGAGGAAATGATCGAATGAATAGCAGAAACACATAGACAGAGAGAGAGGGGGTGGGGGGGGGTATATATAGAGAGAGAGAGAGACGGCATTGGCGTGCTTTGACCGTTGCCTTCACCGTTTTCACATCATAAAATTAAGTAAATATCTGCCAATACTAATAACTTATGAATTTCGTACGTGAACATTTTCTACTCCAAGTAAAAGACAAAAAAAACAGCTGGAAACAATACGTCCACAAAGATGTGCACATTTGCCCTTTGAAATATGGCAAGCCTCCAACTTGCTTCATACCTAATCGAAGATTAAGTTCCAAGTTTTTAGTTTGGAATCTACCCATCCTTAAATCGATTAATCCAACTTTTTTTTTTGGTCGGAGATTAATGCAAGTTGAACCACTCCTTTTTTTGTTCCTTCTTTTCTTATCGCTAATTACCCATTACATGTCTATTGGCATCCTTATAACACGATAACCCATATTGAGTTTATGTCATCATGAAATGTTGCAAGTTGCAACCCTCTCATTGACTAACGTCCTCCGGACACATCAACCAAACATGGATTCCCACGTAGCAAGACCAACTTTCTCATTGTAAATAGAAACTAGTACACCCGTGATAAATTTACTCAAAACTAACTTTTTGACCACAAAAAACCTCAAACTGGTACACCTGTGACAATTTTACCCAAAACTAATTTTTTTATCACAAAAAACCCCAAACTGATACACCTATGACAATTTTACCAAAAACTAATTTTTTGATAATCAAAAACCCCAAACTGGTATATTTATGATAAATTTACCCTTCGTTAAATTCCGTTAAATTAAATTAATACCATGAAAAACCACAAATTGATACATCTGTGACAAACGATAGGTAAAACCCCAAACTGGTACACCCGTCAACTATTACGTGTCATCTCACTCAGTAATTTGACAGTAAAATTTAATGAAAACTAACGGAGGGTAAATTTGTCACAGTTGTATTAGTTTGGGGTTTTTGGTAGTCAAAAAATTAGTTTGGAGTAAATTTGTCACAGGTGTACAAGTTTGAGATTTTTCGTGGTATTAATCCTCATAAATAATCCCTCGGTTTATCCCTTTAGGCAATTTTGGGAGTGATTTTGCCATCAGAGAGCTCTGAGCTTGCATATTGCCTACAGACATCTCTCATCCTCCAACTAATTCAAACAACCTAACACCTCTCACCGGCCGGCGATTTAGCATCGAGTCCACTAAATTCGGCTGCTCATCCTTCATATAGCCTTTCTACTTCATTCTGCTTATTGTGATTTCATGTGTGAACCCCACTAGGCCCTCTACGCCTATCACATGGCAAATGGCACCGGAGCTTGCTAGTACTGCTCGCTTATTCCCTTGCTTCCTTTCCAACTCGGTCCAATTGACGTTAATTACTATATGCAACACTTTCAAATTCCATCAAAACTCGGTGCAAATCTTTCCATCCATGATATTCATTGATTCAATTTTTCGAATTTTTAATTGGCTATCATGTATATTTTTTGACCTTAACTTCTCATTCTTTAGTAGTCTTTTTGTTTCTTTCACGTAATTTGTACTTGGGAGGAGGCCGCAAGAGTCTTTGACGTCTAATAACAGAGCTTAAATTTGATTACACCTAAATTTTTTCCTTCCAAGATTAACTCTTCACCCCCATATTTTCTCACATTCACAAAAACAAATCTTTCTCGATGGCTACTCTCATTAAACAAATCATGATACCCTAGCAAACTTCCTTCTTTACTTCACACAAGATGACCGGGAAAATTACCAAAAAAGTTATAAACCTATTGCAATTGTGCCAATTCAGTCCTAAACCTTTTTTTTTCGCCAATTCAGTCCTAAACCTTTTGCAATTGTGCCAATTCAATCCATCCGATTACTTTTGGCCGGCCAACACTGACGTGGCAATTTTTAAATATTATTTTTTATTTTTTTCAAAATTTTTTTATGTTTTTTTACATTCTCTTATTTTTTTTCCTATATTCTTCCCCAATCGCCAGTCTGGTCCGGCGACCGGCGAGGGCGAGCCATGGCGCCCTCGCCGTGACCGGGCGAGCTCGACCTCACCCAGCGACGGTGAGGTCTCGCCAGATCCACCCTTGCCGTTGGCGGGTGAGCTCGACCTCGCCCACCGATGGCGAGGTCTCGCCAGATCCACCCTTGCCATTGGTGGGCAAGACCTCGCCCGGCCACGGCAAGGCTGGCCCTCACCAGGTTCAGCCTCTAGCCGGTTGCCGAGGGAAGAAGATAGGAAAAAAAAATAAGAAAGAGAAAAAAAGTAATAAAATAAAATAAAATAAAATTCGAAAAAAATATTTAAAAATTACCACGTCAGCATCAACCGGACGGCTAGCACCAGCCAGCGTCCATGTTAGCTCCGACCGGCAAAAAATGGCCGGATAGACTGAATTGACACAATTGCAAAAGGTTTAGGATTGAATTGGCAAAAAAAAAAAAGGTTTAAGACTGAATTAGCACAATTGCAATAGATTTATGACTTTTTTGGTAATTTTCCCCAAGATGACCCATCTCTCTTCTTAAATAGCTAAAGCAAGTGTGAACAAGCCAAGATTCCTCCCTCAAGAAATCATAAACCCTAGCAAACTTCCTTCTTTACTTCACACAAGATGACCCAACCGTCTTCTTGAATAACTAAAGCAAGCGTGAACAAGCCAAGATTCCTCCCTCAATAATTCATAAACCATAGGAAACTTCCTTCTTGACTTCACACAAGATGACAAACTTCCCTGTTTACTTCACACAAGATGACCCAACCCTTTTCTTGAATAGCTAAAGCAAGTGTGAACAAGCCAAGGTTCCTCCATCAAGAAATCATACAATATTTTCAAATCAGCATATTCCAAGAAAAGAGAAAAGAAAACAAACCCATAATTTCTTTTACGCTTCCAATTAACATGACAGGAGTGTATATTCCAACTTTCAATTTCAAAGCACAAGCCAAGACTTCTGTCTTATTTTAGAGACATTTTCCTTTTGGTCTTCCCTTAGACTTTCTATATTGACAACAACAAGAGACCGATGTTGAAACATGTATCATCTGAAGAGGGTTCGTTCTAGTCACCCTTTATCATTCGATATCTTTCTTTCTTCGGTCCATAACTATATTACGCATGATCTCATCTTATAATACCTCAGGTGCTAATGGAACTATTTTAGTGAATCTCTTGCATTTCATTTCTGTGTCTCTTTGTTCCCGTTCTCTTCATCTAAGTTCTCGACCACATAACTTTTTGTCGCATCGTCCCTCGTAAAAATTCTTAAAACCCAAGAAAAGCAAATGAAGGGAGATAATTTAATCATTGAATTGTCGCGCACCTCGTCTCAGTTCTTGAACACGGCATGCAAGAAAGATATCATGTCCGTTTTGGTGGTGAAGTGAATCAGTCCAAAGATGCCCTTCAACTGTTGCTGCCATATCATGATGGCAGTCCCACTCATGATACCGACGATTGAATCCCCAGTCTGATCATAAATTTGCTGAAGAAAGGAGAGAGTTTAGTTTCTTTGGTGATTAATGGATTAAAGGAGAAAATTTGTGCGATCACTCCTATATATACCTTAGGAACCCTAAGACTGACTGGAAGATTCCGGTGAAGAGAGTGGCTGTGAAGATCAAGTGGAGATACAATTTGGGGTCAGTGTCCGCAGACACTTTCTCTTGAATGGTCGCAGCTAGAAGCATTGAAGCTGCAGCCACGGTCCCGATTGCTATGTGCTTTGAGCTCCCAAAGATGGCGCATATAATTGGCGGTACAAACCTCGAATCTGCAATAAGTCAATATTTTAAGTCGAAACATGAAGATTTGTGAAAACAATGACATGGTTATTATACTTTCAAATGCGTGAACGCGATACTTGCACTAAGAGTTAACCAATTGAGGTCGGAAATATCAACGCGGACTCTTAAGTTTATCAAATAAGTTTGTTTTTACGTTTGCCTCAAATTCGAAGTCCACAAGTAAGTTAGCTCCCTTGATATCGCGATGTATGATCTTAGGATGACCTGCACAACGAATGTTTCTCATGTATACAAGAGGAAAGCTCTAGGATTCACAGTTTTAATCAATTATTGATTCAATAAAGATGAAAGACAAAAGTTTATCTGAAACTTACAATCCTCATGAAGATATGCTAGTCCTTTGGCAGACCCCAAAGTAATTTTCAGCCTAGCTGGCCAATCTAGGTCGGTCGTCCCTCTCCTGCAACGACCATTTTCCATCAGAATCCTTTCCATTAAAAGGACAAAGCGCCAAGTTCTCCAACTAATTTTCCCTTTCTTTTTTCTCATAACCCCAAATACTAATTTGGATATCAAAATAAGACAATAAAGACGGCCTTTGATTGGTTTTGGGAGAAAGTTTTTTAAGAAGATGTACAGAACTTTAGAGTAAGGGGGTCTTTCGAAATGGGTTTTGTGTTTGGTAAATTGTAATTTAAAAGGGCATTGAAAAGTGGTTTTAATTTAAAAGGTAATTGAAAAAAGCACACTTAAAAAGAAGTTTTGCTACCTTGGCCGGCGAGACAGGTCTAGATCGCAATCCTCATGAAGTCTAGATCTTCCATATTGGCAGGCCTCTATATACGGTCTACATAGTCTTATTTACAAAATCAGTGGACGTAAGCAATATGGTTTGAAATTTAGATCTTTTCCGTTATGGATTGAGATCTAGATCCTTCCCAGTTAGAGGTAAATCGGCGTCTTTAATTTAGTTTCTCTGAGTAGATGATAACTAAGGGGGCACCATATTCAATGGCCACTTTAATTCGTGGACGACATAGGATATCTACCTAGACAAATCAAAGAAATTCTAAGTTTCACAATGAGGAAAAAGAGTCAGAGCAAGATAGATAAAAAAAATTTTAAAAAAAATCCTCTCTCGCCACAAAATACCAACACCCAGCCACTACCCCGTCACCTTTAATCGCTAGCTCCACATCTGCCACCCACTGCCGCTTGCCGCTGTCATCAACGTTGGTGTTGTCTCATCCTCTGTCGCTGGTGGGGTTCGGTCGAACTTAGCACCAGATCTAGCTCGCCGGCGAAACAACCTTTCGCCGGCGACTGTAACACGAAGTGAGGCATTTCTGAAACTTCGAAAACTTAGCAGAAGGCAAAATTTACAAAGAAAAAGAACATATCAGTACACCGAAAATGCTAACCTGTCTTAGGCTAAGTGCCACATCGTATTTTCTTAAAAACTCCCCAAAAAGATTGCAGTTAGAAGGTCAAAGGCTTTTTTGACAGAGCGGTTGGCAAAGGCAGCCAAAGAAAGAGGGGGGAGGGGGGCTGGACGGGTGGTGGATCATATAAGCTCCCAGTAATATCGGTGCTGAAAATCCAAACTCGCCACCATGTAAAGTGGAACTCCAAGGTGTTTGTTATCCAACCAAAGACACGACATGCTTGTGATGAACTCGGCGAACCTTCAGTCGCTTCACTGCTACATCTTCCCCCGGTGGGAAGGAATCCGCGCCCAAAAGCCCCCCATCTTCTCCGAGTAGATTTGCCTCTGCGAAGGCACCGGTACTCCTACCATTTGGCATGCTGCATAAACCAGGAGCCCGGGCTCCTGGTCTCTGGCTCCTGGTTTATGCAGCATGCCAAACTTTTATGACCCCACCATTTAATCGAGATTTCCTCACGATTAAAATCGAGAGCGACATCTCAGGATGTCGCTGAGACTTCCTCACGATTAAAATTTATCCTGGTTAAGACTTTTCTTCCTCCTCTTTATGACTTTTCTTAAAAGTCTTGACCAGGAGGAAGAAAAGTCTTAACCAGGATCAATTTTATTAAAAGTATTTATTATTTATTATTTTTTTAGTCAGAAGGCGCATCCCAATTTAAACTCAGACAAAATTCGGCTTTCGTATCATGTTAGAAAACTCCAATCTAAAAAATTAAATTGATCGTGTATATAAGAAAATACATTTAAATTTTATAAATAAGCGATGTAGGTTATTAGTAAATGCATTTAGTGGGGAATCGGTTTTTCAGGGACAAGTTTGAATATTTTCATATAATTTAAAGGTTAAATTGAGAATATACAAAAAATTCAGAGATTCTGCATTACACATTAAATCAAAGTTCAAAAATCGCATTATGTATTGAGCCAAATTTCAAAGATTATTTATATTATTTTTCCTTAATTAATTTGAGCTCGGATGCAGGTCAAGATTAAGTGGTTCTCTAATTTTAAATTTTTTTTTTCAGCCATTCTGATTCGATCTTGACGTTAGCGGTTGCGTCACGTAAAAGGCAAAAACAGCTGGAAACCAACGAGAGGCGATATTTCCACGAAGATGTCGACATTTTTCCCCCACAAGACATGGCAAGTCCTCCAACTTGTTGTCACTCTTTTATTAAAGCTAAATAACATGCAAAGTATAATATAATTATTTGAATTAGATGCGCTATTTCTTTTGACAAAAAAAAGGATTAACGGTGATATACAGCACCGAATTCGTATAGAGAAATAATCTTAAATTCTCTTGAGTATGAATAAGGGTCTAATTGAAAATTTTAAGATATTTAAGTATTAGTTTGAGAAAGATGCAATCTCTAGAGATATGCTTGGGCATTTGGTTACCTAAAAAAATTACGATTCTTATTTTTTATATATATTTAAGTATTTGTCAATAACCTATCTCGAGTCAACTCTCGTGTTTAGCAAGTAGCCAATATCTGGATATCAAAATGCACTATCTAGCAAGAAATTTGCGGTTTGGAAAATAGTTGTCCTCTCTTGCATTGTACATTAACAATTCGAGCCACTAAAACAAATGTATAAATATTTTCAAACCAAAGAAAAGAAATCACTTGCACTTTTCTCGAACACGTTAAAAACGTTTGTAATCTTTAATTTTATTTGTATGTTATTAATCGAAATGTGTCTACCTTGCTAGGAAATCGAGTCTTTTAAGTAGTTTTGCTTCAAATATATTATATATTTATAGCTAAATATTATTGTAGGAAGTATCGCACAATCATATCTTATCTCATTTACAAGATGTTTAGAAGCCTACATTACAAATTTGTAATAGACAAACTTATAAAGTGGTCGAACATGATGACTTGTGCATGTGTGCTTTGCAAGGAAGAAGGCTCTGATCAAAAGAAAAAGAGAAGGAGAAAACAGAAACTCCCTTTTTTAAATTAAGAAAAAGCTATTAAAATTCTTCAATTATTTATTTTCCGGGAAGGTGCACTATATATAATAAATGACTAAAAGACAGGAATGCCCTCCAGTCTATTTCCAAGCAATCTCGAGAAGACTGCTTCAACAATACCTAGTGGAGGCACATTCAGCAGTCAACGAAGGTAGGCAACTTCCTTTGGAGTCAGTCAAAATTGTCGGCCTTGGAGTAATTGATTGGTTTGACCGTCAGGTGCGTTTGGTTGGACATTTCCTCGAAAGACGTGTTTGGCGAGATATGACTTTTTATTGAAAATGCTCAACTCAATTTTTCTTCTTTCCAAATTATCCTCATTAATTTTTTAATATTCCAATGTTGCCCAGAAAACATCTGCATTATTCAATTTAAAAAAGGGCACATTCAACAATCGACGAAGGCAGGCAACTTCCTCGAAAGTCAGTCAAACTTGTCCGCCTTGGAATAGGTCATCGGTTTTACGGGCCAATATTAGTTAATTTAAATTTAGGAGAAAATAATATTTTTTTCAATTTAAAAAAGGGCTCTTTATGTTGTAGCCAGGACACATCTGCATTATTTTTGCATGTCGCCGTATCGAAATAAGAATAATAATAAAGAGAGTACTACCTATGTTGGCAGAATATACATATTTTAATGTTTAAAAGAGAAACAATAAATGGAAAAGGAAGAAGAGAGAAAATATTTGAACGTGTAAAAAAGCTGCAGGCTGTCTGAATTTGGCGGAGGTGTGGACCATGAGAGTTGCACATGGCCATGCTATTATTGTACTCTCTCTCTCTCTCTCGTGATTAGAGGCGTGACATTCGCTGTTTCGACTGAAGTAAAAAATGCAAAAGTAAAAGAAAAAATAATAATAAAAAAGAGATGAGATTTTAGATTAGTTTGGATGGAACCATTTTTCGATCGGATCCACTAAGGATGTCAATGGTTCGGTTCGATTCGATTTTAGTGTCTAGAAAAATCGAACCGAGTCGAACCATTTAGATGTGTGCTTGATCCGAACCGAAACATCACACGAACCGAATATGATCCGAACCGAAAACGTGATTCGGTTCGGGTAAGTTCGGTTCGATTTTCGATTTTTCTTTTTGATCTTTTTTTGCACTTCTTCCCTTCCTCCTCCTCCTCGTCTTCTTCTTCCGCTCTCTCTCTTCCCTTCTCTGTGAGACTGTTTCTTCTTTCTTCTTCCCGTCAAGAAGCAGGTCAATTGATGACCCACCACTGAAAGGCCCCACCAGATCACCGGAGTCGGTCATGGACACTCGCGCGGAGATCGAACTTCCGGCGACTGAACCCGCACTAACAACAAAAAAGCGAGGACCGGGACTCGGATGACCCGTTTGGTTAATATCGACCACCACAAACACCTCGGAGCCGCCGTCGCCGGCCCAGGTGGACTCGGTCTCGATGTCGGCATCGGCCGACGAGCTGACGGCCGAGGCCGTGAACAAGCGCTACGAGGGGCTCGTCATGCTACGCCGTCAAGGGGAAGGGCGCGTGGTACTGGGCGCACCTCGAGCCCATGCTCGTCCACAACGCCGACACCGGCCTCGCCTAGGCCGTGAAGCTCCGGTACTCCCTCTGCGAGGCCGTCTTCTCCGCCTCCAACCCGTCGCGGACCGCCTCCGAGCACCTCAAGCGCGGCACCTGGCCCAACTTCAAGAAGCTAGAGAGAAAAATGTGTTTCGTCACTTTGTGGGAGATGATAATGCTGTGAGAGAAGAGGAAGAGAGAATAAAGCAGGAAAGAGAGAGAGAGAGGATAGCAGTGAGAGTGCGAAGACAGAGGAAGAGAGAATAAAGTTAAAAAGTGAAAGAGAGTGAGAGGTGAGCAGTAGTGAACAGTGAGATTGAGGGGAAAGAGCGCGCGAAGGGAAGAAAAACACATTAAAAAATCGAAATCCAAATCGATTTGAATCAAGCCGAACCGAACCGTTATGCTAATCAAATTCATTTACTTATTATCTGATGCGAAACCAAACTGAACCAAAAATGCATTTTCGATTCGGTTCGGTTCGGTTCATATCTCGATTCGATTTTTCGGTTCGGTTCTGACACCGTACGATCCACCCGTTTGAATTTGGCGTATGTGGGGAAGCACATGGCCATCCTATTATTATAAGGTTTTTTTTTTTTATGACCGAGGATCCACCGTACGGCCCCACCGGTCGACATTCTAGATTGACAGAACCAACAACGACTATACCTCGGGGAGCTAGCCCAGGACCCCACTACTGTGGCCCCCACTTAAGCACGCTAGAGGAGATTTAAACCCTCCCCTCAAAGAATGAGGAAGACGAGTAAACCAACGCAACCACCACCGGTGATGCTATTATTATAGGGTTAATACCACAAAAAGCTAAAACTGGGATAAGTTTACCAAAAATTAATTTTTTGGTAACTAAAAACCACAAATTAATTTTTTGACCATAAAAAATCACAAACTTGTATATTTGTGACAAATTTAGTTTTCATTAAATTGAATTAATACCACGAAAAATCATAAACTGATACACTTGTGTTAAAACCCTAAACCGGTACATCCATCAATTACCACGTGTCATCAAACTCACAAATTTAATGATAAAATTTAATAGAAATTAATGAAGAAAAAAATTGCCACAAGTGTACCGGTTTGAAATTTTTCGTAGTATCAACCCATTATTATTCTCTCTCTCTCTCTCTCTCTCTCTCTCTCTCTCATAATTAAATGCGTGACATTTGCCGTTTCGACCGAAGAAAAAAGAAAAATAAATAAAAAAGAGAGGAGATTCTAGATTAATTTGGGTTGGATAATTTTCGACCCGACTTACCCGTTTGGCAGGTCCACCAATTGCTTCACGAAATCCAAACATACTTGCGTTGTCTTCCAATGATATGACTCCATTTCCACGAGCCAAAGCCCCGATCTGTTCTTCGCCTGTCAAATAGACCAATTTGCGTAATCAAGTCACATGGGCTGCCGAGCCAAAAAGAACAATTCGGACCACCTTGGGTTCATTGACAACATGAATTAAGTAAAATGGGCCACAGGTTGTGCTCAAGCCCAATTTTACTTTTTTACGATTAAGGCCCAAATTAGGGCGGTTTTGCGATACTATGGGCTAGAAAAGGGACAAAAACGGTGGCCCATATAACTGCCTATAGCCAGGTAGTAACTAATCCAAGACATGTTTAATTAGGATGTCCCGGAGAGTTTTAACTTGATCGTATCGGAACGAGGCTTGTTGAAGAAGGTTTGACCAATCTCCTAACCCTTTTTCTAGCGGGTTTTGTGTCAATTAGCATCCGCATGACAC